TTAAAAATATTTAGCAAACAAAATTTAAGGATTTGGCATATCAGCGTAAATTTACATCGCATTTTGTTTAATCTGTTTGTCCTCATTGTCAACTTGAATTTGTATTGTAGCTCTGAAGCCCCAGAGGTTCGAGAAAATCGTTTGTATCGCATGTGCTTGACGTCCGTGAATTATGGTCATTGCGGCTTTCGCGCAAGATAGAGCCGCATAAACTTTGATAGATAAATTCTAACATGAATCGTCAGTATTTGCTGGAAGACTTCCTCGAAGTCCTTTCTTAATTAAAGAACTAACTTTCAAAACCACAAACAAGTGCAACATTTCTTAAGGGAAAAAAAAACTGAAGTTTGCAATATTTCCTTGTCAAAGACAATATTTTCATTAGCGATCCTTTATTAGCACAAGGTGGAATTTCTTTTGGTAAACACTGGATTATTTGAGAATTTGAAGGAAATCTTCCTAAAAAATTTTTAGGAGCTACTTTAGACCGAATATGATGTTTCATAAGTTGTTAAGTTAATGTTTCTAAAGATTTCCTTTCACAAATCCTTTTGGCTTATCCCTCAACTTTGACTGCCATGCAGCTCGTTTGAATTCCGTTCAAATTATGGTAAAAGTGATGATTTTGAAATAGAAGAACCTTGAAATATATGGAAGGCAATTTGCAAGGCTCCCACTCAGAAAAATTAGTCGGGAACTCAATGTTGGCTCACAGGTCTTGTTAACCTTAAGTCTGTATCAATTTTATCTAACGGAGGAAAACCTGAAACTTTTTTTACAATTTAAAAAGTATTCCAGTGAAGGTCTTGGAAGCCAGATCCGATACTGGATGGTTTGGCTGAGTCCAGTCATAAATTACGGCACTCCTTTTCCAAATAACAATTTGCTATTATCCTTGAGATCAAGTTTGCGCATAAATCAACATTCAGAGCGTCGTCTCGCTAAGGCCCTGAGTTAAGTATAGCAGCTGTCTACCACTGGATCGTTCTCAATCATTATAAGGTATCTTAGGAGTTCTGCCTCGACACTCTTGGTGCATTCCTGATGTATCAAGGAGTAGGTTATAAGTTGATTGGCAAATTTATGGAATTTCAGTGGTTTAAGATCCCCCGTTTACGAAAGATTTTCTGTTCGTTCAAAATTAAAGAGCTCAGGAGAACTCATCTTTAATTAATTTTGAAAAAATGAATGTGAGGGAACATAAAACGACATGTGTCTGAGAATCTCAAAGAGGAAAACTATCTTTAAATCCTTGCGCACATGTATCGTTTAGGGTAAGCATGAGGGCCAAACGAGAGAATATTTCGTTCGATGCAATGATGTGGTTGGTACAGTTTGGCACTTGCCCTAAGATCTATGTCGCTACATTTTTTACAGAATTTAGAGTTGATGAAATTATTATATTACCCCATAGATAACAGAAAAATAAAGCCTGGAATCTTGCAGTTTGCTAGAGCAGGACATGATACTAAAAAAAAAAATCAATTTTGGTTACTTACAATCGACAGCCGAATTGATACGGTGCTATAATTGTTTGCCACAGCGAAAACTACATGTATTAAATATTTGCAGAAAAGAAGAAAGGAGCTTTGTACGCAATTTTTCGATGAAATGAAAAATAACCCAACATACTCTGCTATTAGTGCAAAACATGCTTATGGCAAAGTTTGAAACTTTTTTCTAATTTTATTTCATTTCTCAAGTGGGAAATTCATCCTTATTTTGGCAACTTCTTTAAAGTTCTGGTTGGTCACTCGAGAATTGCATATTCTACATATGCACCTACTTACTTCGTTTCAAGGCGTCAATGAAACACATTTAACGAAAGATGAATCGTAATCGGTGGAAAATAAGTCTACATGAGCTTTATTCGAACAGTTTGGTCGATACATAATTCCAGAAATAGCACGATTTAATTTATCGCCTGCCTAAATAAAGTATTCTCTATGTCGTTGAAAACGCGAATAAGACCAGTCGACAGTTAAAAGGCAACTATCTGATAACAACTCGAATAGTAAACAGGGCCTTTAGAGCGACGCTATATGAGTTTCTTGAAAAATGCACGCCTCTTAGGTGAGGCAAACCCCATGTCCTGAAAGCTGTCTTCGAAACAATTTCACAATTCTCTACTGGAACATTTTCTTGAATTCATGTAAAGTTCTTTGCTTCAGATACAAAACAAAAATGTAACGAATGTTGAAAAAAGGTCGTCCGTACATAAGTTCAAAAGATTGTTTGACAGTTTTCAATTTCAGAGATTAAACCATTCGTGCATCGAGACTAATACAATTGAAATTTAAACAATAGAGACTTGAGGATTAGAAATGTGGATCACACAGTTTTTCCAAAGTTTTATTTCTTTAATTAAATTGAAGTTCGAAATTATTGAGCTATTTTTCAGTGGCATATCACACCTAAAAGAACTTAAACAATTTTAAGTGTACCTTGAAAATTCGAGCAACTTCCATCGAAGAATCAGGCAAGCCGGAATGATAAGAGATAATTTATTAAAGACGTCACTTGGTGTCTCATAGAAAGACATAAACAGCATCTGATATGTGCCTTGTCTGTCATCTTGAACAAAACATTTAATATGTTGAATAAAGGGGAAAAATGTATTGTTTATTCTGGTAAAAGTGCGCCTAAACTATGTTTTAAAACTCCTACAGAGTGCGTGAGCCGTCTAAATATTTCATCGTGCACAAATTGTCGGGATGATTTTACCATGCGGACGGAAAACGTTGTGCTCGTTGTCTAACTTGTGGTGACGAAGCCCTAGGAAGAAGAGCGAACGATTTTACAAGAATAGGAACTTTTCAAATAATTTCGAGTCATTATCACGCGTTGATTTAGCGTTGCTTGAGACAAGACAGAAGACAATTGCAAGAACTATGAGTAATATTAAAAGGAAAAAAATTGACATTTCTGCAGCGATAATAATTTATTTAAACTACATTGTCGACGACTCATTAAAAACTATCAAGCTAAACAATATTTAGCGATCGATTTTAAATATATGGCGGAACAATGCAAATTTACACCGCATTTCGTTTGATCTGTTTGTCCTCACTGTCAACTTGAATTTGTATTGTAGCTCTGAAGCCTTTGAGGTTCGAGCAAATCGTTTGTATTGCGTGTGTTTGACGTCTGTGAATTATGGCATTGTGGCTTTCCCGCAAAATGGAGCTGTGTAAACTTTGATAGATATATTCTTACACGAATCGCCAGTATTTGCTGGAAGACTTCCTCGAGGCCAGAGTAAGTTTTCAAGCTAAAATTAGGCGTCAGGTTGATGAAAGTCCTTTCTTAATTAAAGACCTAACTTTAAAAACCTCAAACAAGTGCAATAGTTCTTAAAGCAAAAGGGAAAAAAATGTAGTTTTCCCTGCCCGTACAAATTTACTCAGCCCCTACTTATCTTCAGGAAGTTGCATACACCGTAAGTGGGAGACTTTTGATTGATACAAACCTAAGAGTGTCGTTGTATGTTTAGAGCTTTGCGTATAGATTACGCAATTGAAGGCTTGACGTTTCTTGAGGCTGGCAATATTTCCTTGTCAAAGACATTCTTCTCTTATTAGTTTTTCATTAGCGATCCTTTATTAGCACACGGTGGAGTTTCCTTAGATACATACTGGATTATTTGAGAACTTGAAGGAAATCTTCTTAAACAACTTTCAAAAGCTACTTTAGACCGAATTTGATGTTTGATGGTGATAATTTTTAAAAGAAACCTGGTGAAAATTACGTTCATTGAAAAATTTAAGATCGTGATGACATTTGCGTAGTTTTTCCTAAACAAATATTTGATCTTTGCCATGGTTCAGTGACACTGTAGAAGGAACAAGGAAGTTCTTATCTAAAGTTAATCATCGTTTTGGCTTGAAACCAGGTGTTTCTATGGTAATCATAGCTACCATATTGTTATAAAAGAAAGCACTTTTACCTCAAAAGTAGTGAAGACCAAAGAGCTTTGCATCTTGAGAGGTAAGACTTGATTATATCGAAAACACCGATGGATGATTTGAGTAATACTATCCCTGGAAAATTTATATTCTTTACGAAAAGGATTTGCATATCAAAGGAAAAGGTTGGCTTCACTCCCAAAGAAGGGTATGGTGCGATTTTAAAAGAAAATTATCTTGAGGTCTTTTTCAACGAAAGCAGATTATCAATACTCGAGGTTTACTAACTGAACCTTTACATGAGTACTTCTATGCACCACAAAAGTTCTGGTAAATAATATATTGCTCTGTTTATCTACAAAATAATCAAAAGGTCGCTAAAGTTTGAACCTCGTCCAAAATGTTGAATGTGTTACGAACAACGTAGAAAGGATTATTTATCAGATATAGTTTGGAAGCTTTATATTTGAATCTTTCTTACCCTTTGGGTTACTGGACTTTGTAGATAAATAAAGGGTTTCAACAATCTTCGGGATTTTTATTTCATAACTGAATGAGGATAATCAGCAGCTTATAAATGTTAATTAGCCAACTTGTTAAATATTGTATTTTTTTCTCGCTCATAATGAGACTATGTTATTTCATCTGAAGTTTTTGTCGAGTTTGAGTCGTTGTCACTTTACATTTGGAACTAATATTTCGAAATGAAGATTTTTAATGCTTGAACATTCGTTCTTCTAAGGGGGGCGTAAAGTGATCAGGCCTATCAGGAGGACATTTCAAAATACCTTAAGCAGATCAAAGTTATCATTCCACAGAAACTAAAGGAGCCTTCAAAATTAAAGTTTAATGTTAAGAGTTGTGCTGATCTTCCTTGACGATTGGCATCCTATCGAGCCTTGTGCAAATTTTTTACTCACATCATGAACTAGAAAGTGCCTGAACGAATTTAAAGGCAAGGTTTTAATGTACGTGTAGTATTATTGCTATATGGCTCCATCTGGTATCAAACAAGTTTTGTTGAGGGGAAACTCGTTTTTTTTCTTTCTATGATCCTATTTTCAATATTTTCAGATTCAGCACAAGCAAAGAAGTATGTGGTGGCTGTTCCGCCATTTAAGATTCATCCTTTTCGTTTCTACCATGGATTTTGTCACAGCTAATGATCAATGTAGGACCGAAGTAAACATAGAAGGAATGGCTCTCGGGAGTTCTGTCTTCAAAAGATGTTCACTGGCGGCTCCTCACCTTTGCGATGTCAAATGTAGACAAGAGATTACGTGCCAAAGCTATAACTACAATCGAAAATACCAAATATGTGAACTAAATAACCGCACTAAGGAGGCGAGACCAGAGAATTTCCTCTCAGCACCCGCGTGGTTTTACATGCGGCGATCGAACGGCAGAGGTAAGAAATCAAAAGTCTTTCCATCAATGTGATTTCTGTTTCTCTTAAATCTTCGCCATCCTCAACCTGTCACTTTCTCACCTGGAAGAGCTAAGAATAGGAAGTGAATGTAAAACATATCTTTACTTCAGCTTCCTTAGGTTCTATCCCTGAATTACCGGCGCTGTCTTGTCACGAAATAAAGGCGAGTGAAGGTAAACACATCATAAGCGGCAAGTACTGGCTGGATCCAACTAGGAAAGGAAAAGCAAAACTGATTTACTGCGATATGGTTAACGAAGGTAGGTCCTATAACTTTGCTCGAGTTATTTTATTTTGTAATGAGTTATCATTATTAAGAAATTAATATAAATTATACTATTATTGATATCATTATCGCAATATTTGGTTTGGATCAGTTCTAGCGTGGATGCCTCTCTCAAGTTGCTCTAACTTAGTCCCTGTTTCTCTTTCAACATTCTAGATATGGATGAATGTAAATTTAACATCAGTGACTGCGACGTGAATGCAAACTGTACTAACACACATGGTTCTCACAAATGTACATGTAAAGTGGGATACATCGGCGATGGACGCTCATGTTCAGGTAGTTTTGAAGATGATCTTATTGATATTTCCTTATGTAACTAATTTTTGTTAATCATCTCATAATTTTAAGCAGCGTTATCCATGCATGTTTATGCACAGAGTTATCATGATCCATATATTTTATATATGCCGCACCATCCAGCTGCGTTGGAAGACAATTAGACAATTTATCGAGTTGAGCAAGAGAAGAGAAGTTACATGACCGCAAACAACCATGTTTTATTTTGATTATCAAAGAAACACAATATGTCTTTACTGAGAATGAAAGGTGACTTTTTTAAAGAATGATATAATAGGTTTCACAATCCGCCAAAAAAAGTCGTAAAGTCGTCAAGATGAAAAAATGCGTTAAACCATTACAGAAACAGACAAAAGGCGTAACTTTCTTTTCATAAAATTCTCAGTTGACTTTTTTCTTACCGAAAGAAAAATATTTTCACGTGAAAGACAAAAATAGGCCTTTGCTAAGAAAAAAATAGAATTTTTTAAAGAATGAAATTAGAAGTTTCACATTCCGCGAAAAAAAAGTCTACCAAGGAAGACTAGCAAGGCTAATCTTTGACGATTGATATCCGACTACAATTTGGAACGGTGTCTAGAGAGAGATTCCGCTGCAGTGGAAGTTTTTGTTTAGTCTAAATTAATAATTAATTTGTCACAATGATAATAATGCTCTTTCACCTCATAAAAGTTTAAAAAACTAATGTATATCTCACTCGTTTAACTACTAACGTTTTATAATTTTGCTTTTCTTTCCCATTTTTTTAGATATTGACGAGTGCCAAAAAAATACTCACAATTGTCACCCGAACGCTACTTGTCAAAACACTAATGGATCCTTTGTGTGCAACTGTTTATTTGGATTTAACGGAGATGGACGGAACTGCACAGGTAAAGGCCTTTAGATTGTAATCGCCTCGTTATGACCTTACTTGTTCGTTTGTGTTTGTATTTTTAATTGTTTTTTTAATTTGTAAGTTCCTTCTTTGTTTGTTTGATTGTTTGTTTTGATAAAGTAGTTACCCTTGCCTTAATATTTTTGACCAATGGTAGAAAATGAAAATCTTTAATCCCAATTGAAAGCAAGAGGACGAAATGCACTCAATGTTCAAAATAAGGAGGTTTAGACATGTATCATGCTCTAAGAATCGTGATTGAAAGCCTGTCATTTCTCAGATATTGACGAATGTGCAATAAATCTTTCTTGTCATGTGAATGCTAACTGTACCAACACAATTGGATCACATGTATGTACATGCCACACTGGATACACTGGAGATGGACAAACTTGCTCAAGTGATTTTGATAACTTTTCTTCATCGTCAGAAAAATCCTTTATTACCGAAGAGAGGCAACCTCCATTGCTGCTCTTTCTATACATACAATCCCAGCTACCCAAAGCGGGAGGTAATCTGAAACGTCTTTTTAGCTCAAATTATAAGGCCGAAAGTAGTCAAACATTTATCCTGAAATTCATCCCTCATTAAAAATTGTGGATTGTTTTGTTTTGTCCCACATCCTTTGAGATTAGATTTGCAGTATTTTGGATAGGTATTCATTATATCTTGATTCACCAAAACATTTTTCATCATAACATCAACTCTGGGTTGTGACGTGGTGCACTTGATCCCCATCAGACATTGACGAGTGTTCACAGATGAACATCTGCGATGAGCACGCCTCCTGCAGTAATACCCAGGGCTCCTACAGTTGTGCCTGTAATCCTAAATACATTGGGAATGGTCTGACTTGTAAAGATTACTCTCTCCTAATCCATGCCTTATATATTTTTTAGAGATGGTACTGACTGAACTCGCTGTAAATAATGTTGAGTGAATGGCTATTCTTGTTTGGCCATGCAACAAATTACGTTAATTTTAAGTGCTTTTAGTTTGCTTGGAAACGTCCTTCGACAAACATTGAGGATAAAGAAAGATAGATTTGATTTTTTACATCATATTGGTGGACTTGATGTGCATTGTTTTTGTCCACCAGGAGAGAAAATAATTTTTTCTCGATGATGCATAACTGTTTTGCAAATTGAATTATATTGATGATGTCTCAATTAAACAGAATAGTCTGATTGGTTAAAATCGATGTTGATCGCAGCTACGATTTTCTCACTCTGACCTAATAAGGTGATTCCTCAACAAAAAAAAAAGTCATCTGACAATTATTTTAGTCTGCCTTTAAATGTTTCCTACCAATGGCTGTTTCGAAAAATGCAATAAGCAAGGCAGGTCACCTAGCTTGTTTGAGAGAAATGACGAGGAAAACCTACCTCATTTATGTACTAGCAATTTTTCACGCGCGTCATTTCAAGGTACATTTTTCTGTACCTGGAAGCAAGGGTTTTCGAAGTAAAATTAAAACAAAAAACTTAAAGGTACAAAGTCTCGAGCGTGGGGAAAATTTGATAAGTAATTTGTGGAAATTATTTATATACATTAGTAATTATTATTACTTAAAACGTTCCTCACGTCATTGTTTTCAAGGTAATAATTTTCATCATCAAGTAACGGGCTTTGTGCACGCTTTTAGCTATGTTTTTTTTTTACCTTCGATAATTTTCTTAATTTCTCCAAGTTAAAGGGGAAAATTTGTACACAAAAATTATGCAATGAAAAATAGAGGTCACCGAGCTCGTTCAAGAGCAAAAGAGCATTGTACCTATTTGCATGGTCCATTTATTGAAAAGCAATACCGTGTTCTCAGAATGCGTGCGCTTACTTGCCTGATTACGTGATTTTTATGCGCAGTACAGGATGCCCAGTGCAATACTGAGGAATCACCTTCAGACTGATAGCAAGATTTAGTTTGTTTTGTTTATTTAAATAGCAATTAATGGAATAATATTTGTCCAAATAAGGAAAACGTAAGCAAATTTGAGTGTAGCCGACGAAACTACGAGCATAGCAACTTGACTTTTTACAACGCGAATTTTTGTCAGATGCCAATTTGATTGGCTATTAGGAAACACTGAAACAAAGAAATAGTAGAGATGGTAAGTTTTGAGCTCGATGAAGAATTAAGAAAGATGTTTTTTCGTCTTGTCACGAGCGTGGGATAAAGAAAAATTATGAGTCCCCATGAGGAATCTTCTTCACCGAGCTCAAAACTTACCATCTCCACTATTTCTATCAAAAACATTACACTATCGACATTGCTGATCCTAGCAGTATGCAGGACGCGTGTTATAAGAACTTCGTAATAGACCTCGCTTACCGAAGAGTCTTTGTGGCTTAGTGGTAGAGCATCGGAGCACAAATTCGAAGGTCTGAGGTTCGATTCCTCGTGGGGAGTCAGAATTTTTCTTTATCCCTCGCCCATGACAAAACGAAAAAACATCCTTCTTAACATTTACCTGTCTCTGTAACGTTATTGGAAAGATATGCTTATACTTTTTCCCGTGTTAACATTTTCTCATTTAAACACTCGAGGCTAGGAAATTTCTTGAAAGTTATGCAAACCCTTGACTGCGTATTGGGTTCGCATAACTTTCTCAAATTCTCCCAACCTCCTCTCGTGTTTAGGTGAGAGTATGTAAACATGGAAAAAAGGTTCTCTATTGCTTAAGCAGCAATCGGCCCCAACAAAGTTTTGGAGGCATATCTGCTCAGATCGAAGAAAAAGTAATTACTTCACTTCAATTCCACAACGACACAGAAAACTTTTTCACAGTTAAATAATTCTAGCCCTAAGGAATTTTTGCGGGAGCACTTATTAACAAGTTTGATGGCTTTACATTCATCAACAATCTTTTTTGTGGTCAGCAGTCGATGATTGCAGGGCTGTGTGAAAAGCGATCACGGAGCAATCGCGCCACAGTCACGCATTGAAATTCTTTGAATATGGTAACTTTTAAGGGATTTTGTATTGAGGCTGTATGACAAACTCGGCTATTTTTTCCTCATTCAATAAATAAAGAATCATACTTGGGTACGCCTTGATATGGAATTTCTCTTCGAATATTCAACTTGTTATCTCGTGAGCGAGAGCAGCGAGCGAGTAAGGTATCGAGCAAGAGAATATAAACTGCTATAATCTCTTGGTATCGAGATAAACACGAGAAGAGAAGTTTCATATCTGCAAGCGACCATCTATTATTTTTTTTACCATGTAAACACAATAGGCCTTTACTGGGAAGAAAAGTCGAATTTTTAAAAAATGAAATTATAGGTTTCACAATCCGCGAAAAAAAAGGCGTAAAGCGCATTGGCGATAGGACTCAAGATGAAAAAAATGCGTTGAACCATTACAGAAACAGACAGTGGGCGTAGCTTTCTTTTCACAAAATTCTCAGTTATTGACTTTTTCCTTATCGACAAAAGAAATATTTTCATGTACACGGCCGAAATCGGCCTGTGGCAAATCTTCCAGTTGTCGATTTTCGTTCTCAGCCACGAGAAATACCATTACCCAGGTCAAGGACCTAACTTTTAAGTTAACCTTAAAAGGTTTTTCTTTTCCTATTTTGTCTTACGACCCCTTCCAGGAAATTTTGAGTGACATTGTCTGTTAGAAATACGAATTTTTGTTTTTTCTTAGCAGCCATAATTCGAGAAAATCTCGACATACGACCCTGGATTGAGAACGGTCAACGCTTTGGCTTTCATTTATTAACCTGACACAGCTGACTGGTGATATCAAACACGCGTAAAAAATTATTGTAATATTATACGCCTTTTTAACAAGGATTTCCCGGCTCTTTTCAGGTTTTAAACCAACGCAATTTCTATAATAGCTTTTCCCTTAAACTTTCTTATAGCGAAATATATAAAACATTGTATTAACCGAAATTCAACTTTTTAGCCGATCCGTGCTATAATTACAGAAACCTGAGCGATGCTGATAGAAAGAGCACTTACAACACACCCTACGGTGGAGAAAAATGTGACGACGATTCCTCATCCTTAATATTCGGGAATTGGTATCGTTTCGTAGGAGATGCAGGAACAAAAATGCCAACCCAGTGCGTACCGGGTTATAGATGTGGTGCGGTCCTCTCAGGCTGGCTAAAAGGTGGTCACCCCACATTGGCAGATGGTGAGGTTTCCTCCGAGGTCTGCTTTACCAGAGGTGGAGATTGTTGCAAGAAATCAACGGACATAAAAGTGAAAGACTGCGAATCCTACTTTATATACAAACTACAAAAGGTCTTTCCTTGTAATCTGCGCTACTGTGGCACAGACTGAATGCTATAAGCAAGTCATTCTGCTCAACGAAAGGATTCACAAATCGATTTAATCATTGGCACATGCACATTAATGTATATCAGGGACTTTAAGAATTTCACATGATCCACTTTTTATGATTAGTGTTAAACATTGAATAGTTTGAACAGAAGAGTACCTTTGAACTGCATAGTTTGATCTTCCAAGTAAGAGTACTCCTGAGAAGTTGTGACTGAAGGTTGTCAGTGTTACTGATTGACGTTTCTGTAACCTTAGCGGAAATCATCATCAGAGTCGACTGAACAATTGTTGTTTATCCGAGTATTAGAGGAGACTCCCCCCACCCTCAGCTAGTGTCAACAATTATGGGCATTAACGAGCTTCCAAATAATCTTATCATCATCTCTATCTATTCTAATCAAACATCTTCATTAAGTTTTAAGCAAAACTTTGAGCATTGTATTTTGCTTATTACTAAACGTTTTGAACTCTTGATGTTTACTCAGGTCGTTAGAAACTAAAGCAGCTTTTGAAACCCACGTCGTCTGTACATGAAGTTGTTATTCTGTCTAAAAGCGTTCCACGTTGGGTCACGGCGGTCCGTGATTATAAGCAAGTTATTTACTATGTTCAGTCGTGCTTTCATTAGCATCATGATTTACAGGGATTTTTAAATCGTGTTCGGTGTGTTGTGGATAGAGAAATAAATAATTTCTAGAATTTTTAGTCACTATGACATCGATACTCAAACTTTCTGGTGACATATCACGGAACACTAGAACATTCTAATAGGTTATGTGGTTACGATCTATTTCTACCACAACAGTTGTGTTGTAAGCCTCGAATTCTGGAATGTTTCGAAGTACGTTATGACGGTATATTAGGACTCGGTCAGCTAGGAGTACTAATTTCTTTAGTCAGAAAAGACCGAATATCTAGGAAGCTCTACAAAAGATAGCTCATTACTCAGTACTGTGATATACTTAAAAGATTGTGTATTTTGTGGAGATTCTCTCTCAGTAGAGAGCTAAGTTTTAGTCTGTAGTGGGCTTAAGTAAGTTTTTAAAGGACAATTATTGTATTGCCTATACGAGTAGCTCCTGAGAAAGAATCATTATACATTGTTTAATAAAGTAGTTTAAGTTGTAGGAGTTTAGTATTCCTTATTTTGATTTAATCATACCATAGCAGGTGAATCTTGTAGGAAAGCGTTTTGGGTGAAATGGGTAAAATCTGAATGATGTCTACGCTAGTAGTTCTTTCAAAGCCATTCCAACAAAATGAGCTCCGAAATAAAGACCAGTTAAAACCTAATTTAATAACCTTTTCAGGTTATTTGTGTGTATGTGACCAGTAACAGAGATGGTGTGATCTGCTACTCTGGTTGCTTTATTTAACACTGACAGTGAACCTAAGACAAATAGCACGTCTTAGTTCTCCAAGGTTTACGTGTCTTTGTTGCACTTTAGAAAATCTGCGTTGACTTTCCCAAGGGCCAAATCCTCTTATCGCTTGCTATTCAAAATATCTACATGTAATCAGTGTAAGGTTACTTGAAACAATGAATTATCACTTACCAGATGTCAGCAAACAAAACAGATTCCACTGTATCTTTTTCGTGTTGTTAAAGCTACTTTCGCTAGTGTTGTTGAAGCGCAAAGTTCATCATTCCATCGGGTGAATAATCAATAATCTCCGGAGGGGTTTCCGAACTTTAGGAAGTGAGAGGTTGATTTGTTGAGATATCTCTCTCCTTTAGTGAGACATCAACGGCCTTCCGACACATTTTAAATTTATCATTATTATCTAGGTTTAATTGGGCAATAATCTCAATTTTTATAAATGAGCTCTCCTCTTGAGTTTATCAAGACAAATTTCTGACAGAAACAGTTTCGTTGATCAATTTTCCCTTTAGTCAATTATTTGATGGGAAACTGATCTTTTCAAAAAATCCCACAGAATTAGCAAAATCACAAATACATGTACATTTACTTGAGAAAATATCTTTGTTAGAGACTCTGTTTAGTAGAGTAAATGGTTGTTGCTACGGTTATTATAATCAACTCTGTGTTTGGGGAATTTGGAGGAGTGGACTTAATGTGATTAGCTGCTTTAACTGTCCGATTACAGGTGTCCAATTACAGTTGACTGTCCGATTGCACTGTCCGATTACAACTCTACAGATTAATTAGTGCTAAAATAAAGCAGCTAAAGTACATAAACATTTGAGGACATTGTAATGGTTATGCCTGGTCGTGGAGGAGAGAGATGCGATAATGTTGTGTTTTGTTACTTATACAACTCTTAAGTTTCATCACTGCATTAGCTTTGCTTAGTCCCTCAGAAACGCAACTGGTTCTTTACCTGTCTAGATGTAAACCATAAATGGTGCTAGTCAAATCTGATTCAATTTCCCAAAGATTTCTGTCGCAAGATGGAATTTACATCTTCTCTTGCTTTCCTTGGCAAACGGCTCATAAACCACTTGATTCCCCCGTAGAATCCCCCGCACAAGACCTCTGCTCAGCTTTATGCTACAAGGAAGTATTAGTATGTAAAGTTAGCTCAACCTTGGGTTTTTTAGCTTGTAAATGTTTCGACGGTAAGTTGTTTCACTGATATGTTGTTTGGCTGGTTGCGCAATGTTTTTTTGCAATTGGTTTGTATGGTTGACGGGTTGCGTGGCTGGTTGTTTGGTTGATTTGATCTCATGTGACATTTCAATATTCATTTTAAAGTATCATTACCACTTACCACTTCAATTGGCATATATTTGCTTTTAAACCTCATTTTCACACCAGAATACTTGTGGACAGACTCCATGCCAACATAATGGCACTTGTCAGACAGGATTTACAGACAAAGGTTACAGATGCCTTTTTCCACCTGAATACAAGGGCACCAACTGCGAGAAAAGAAACGGTTGGTAAAAATACATTTTTCATTTGGTGAAATACTTTTATCAAAAACTCTACCTAACCCTTTAAGTTATCTTTCGATGAATCCAACTGTAAGTCTTATTCAGCCCAACTCCATTATTTTGTTCAAAATGAAGTCATCATATATATGCTGGTTCTTTTCCCAAAAGTAAGATGGATACAGATGACGCCATGTACAGTTTGCTTTGGGGCACGAGATGATTCGTATGGTTTCTCTAGAACTTCCAAGGCGGGTAACATCATTACATTCAAATTAACGTACAAATTCGGTTACGTGACCTATCATTCATCGAACCCAAGCTACCAATCCCATTGGGGATGCCTTTAGAACCGTCTCATTCCCAACCAAATGGCCACGTTGATAACTGACAAAAACCGAAATCTTGTTCTCCCAAAGAGTGATTTCCTCTCAGGTTATTGGGGCTGCAAGTTTTACAGCCTGCCTTGGGCCACAACCGAATCGCCACAACTGCTCTTTGATAATTTCTCTACCCCGCTGGCGGTGGAAACGAGCCAAGAATTCCAAATCTGGTACAGCGAGGATTTGTTCAAATGGGGTTATGGCGTTAATGGGTTCGAAAAAACGTGTGTTGCAGTGTATATGTTTGAGTAGTCGCCCAAATTACAAAGTAAATTGAAGAAGAGAGTGCCAAAATTGTTGTTCATGCCTTTATTACTTCAATATTAGACAGCTGCAACTCACTACTATATGGTCTACCGAAGCATCTACTTTCAAGATTGCAATCCGTTTGAAATATAGCAGCTCGAAATGATACACGTACTAGGATATTGATCGTATGACCCCAATCCCAAAAAAAGCTTTTTTATGATTTTAACGTAAAGTACCGTGGACAATTAGTGGTTTGGCGATGTATAAATATATTTACTATTATCATTTATTATACATGTACTTATGACATCAGGAAAAAATACTCAAACTTTAGTGACGTTCCTCTCTTCGATTCAAGAACGAAGGAAAAGAATGCTTGTCCTGGTAAAGGCCTCGCTTGGAATCGAGAATTCATAGGAATGACCTGCGCGACTTTACGATATGCACCCTAAGAATATGACTTGTGATGGATGATGGATGATGGAAGAACTCCATACCTTTTTCGTCAGCTTTTTTACCCTTTACGGCGGCTAATTTACGTTTTCAATTCAGTTGTTAACACTAAATTACCTGCTATACTCTCCCACCGACGCAGCATCACAGTTTCTTTAGAAACTTACCCCCTTATTCAAAGGTTATAAATGCCTTTGCCGACCTGAATACTTGGGCACCAAATGCGAAGAAAGAAACGGTAGGTCAAAAAGTATTTTTAATTTGGTGAAATACTTTTATAAAAAGCTCTACCTGACCCTTTAAGTTATTTATCGATGAATTCAACTGTCAGTCCTATTCAGCCGTCTGTCTACTCCCCCAGATGTCTGAATCCCCTTTTGTCCCCCCGCTTTCCTATCCATCTGTCTGACTGAGCGGCTGGCTGTCTAGACGTGTATTCTTGTTATCCAACTCACATTTTTTGTTCAAAATCAATTCATCACATAAGTGCTGGTTCTTTTCCAAGCAATAAGATGGATGCAGTTGAAGTCATCGATAGTTTGCTTTAGAACAAGAGATGATTGGTATGGTTTCTTTAGAACTTCCAAGGCGGGTAACATTACATTCAAATAAATGCACAAATCTGGTTATGCGACCTAGGCATTTATTGAACCCAAGCTATCAATCCAAATGGGGATCCCTTTGGAACCTTTTCATTCCCAACCAAATGGCTACGTTTATAACTGACAAAAACCGTAATCTTCTTCTCCTAAAGAGTGATTTCTTACCAGATTATTGGGACTGCAAGTTTTACAGCCTGCCTTGGGCCACAGCCGAATCGCTACAACTTCTCTTTGATAATTTGTCTACCCCGTTGACGGTGGAGACGAACCAAGAATTCGAAATCTGGTTCAGCGAGGACTTGTTCAAATGGGGTTATGGCGATAATGGGTACGAAAAAACGTGTTGCAGTGTATGGTTTGTACGTTTGCAAAATGAGAAAGTACATTGAAGAAGAGAGTGCCATAATTGTTCTTCATGCCTTTATTACTTCAATATTAGATAGCTGCAACTCACCGCTGTATGGTCTGCCTCAGCATCTACTTTCAAAATTACAATCCGTTTAAAATACAGCAGCTTGAATTATTACATGTACAAGGAAATTTGATCGCATGACCCCTATCCTATAAAAAGCTTCACTGGCTTCCTGTCCGTCACTGTATGGTTTATAAAATTCTTTCACTGCTCTACAAGGCTATCAATGGAACAGTGTCGTGCCACATTTGTGACTTATTTGATTATCGCAACTCTAAAGGGACATTAAGGTCCTCTTCTCAATACCCTCTGGCGACCCCGAAAGCGAGACTAAAGACTTGCGGACAGAGAACGTTTGCTGTGGCGGCACCAGGACTATGAAACTCGATCCCACTTGGAATAAGATCTAGTTCTTCAATTAATAGTTTTAAAAGACATTTAAAAACGTATCCTTTTAAACAAGCTTATAACTTTTTTTAAATTTTTTTTGATGGTAAATTTGTTTAATTATCTTAGAAGTTTTAAATTACTTTATTCCTACATAGGGATATATTTTTTTTCCTTTCCTTTTTTTCTTTTAGCTTTTTAATAATCTTAATATCAAGCGCCATAGACAATATTAGAGGATTTAGCGCTGTATAAATATCTTTATCATTATCATTTATAATAATCTACGGTTTGATTCAGCGATCTGAATACATGTAATCATGACATCAGTGAAAAAAAAAATACTCTATCATTAGTGACGTCACTCTCTTCGATTCAAGAATGAAGGAAAAGAATGCTTTTCTTGGTAAAAGCCTGGCCTGGTAACGAAAATTCATAAGAATGACTTGTGCGATTTTATGACGTACACTCTAATTATATAGAGATGAAATAAAGAAACTTGGGCATATGCTGGTCTATTTTTATTTTCCCCTTGCACCTTTTCTTACAATGGTTGGCTTCCGGGTTCATGGAATATTTGAGAATAAACCTGGCGAGATATAAATTCAAATTCCACCTCCATTTTCTTATGTAGGATACCTCAGAGTCTTATCGGTTCTGCGAGCATTCGCCCTTTTTAATTTGAACGATCAATTTGCTGCCTTAAACACCTCCTGGAAAAAGCTTACATTGATTTCTGAGAATACTTTGTCATTTCCGTTCTACTCGTAGGTTTTCAATGGACTGTATAATGCCCAACGGAAAGAAAGGGGGGTAATAAGGTAATTAAGTATTATCAAGTGGGTTAATAATGTAAATTGGCCACCGTTCACATTTTATTTTTAACCGTTAGCCCTTCGTCATTCTCTCTGACGAAGTAAGGGATGATTTCTCTCAGTTCGTTCTTTCTTTCGTTATTTATATATCGTGGTTTTTACTCCCGTGGCAAAATAAGAGCAGTTTATACTGTATGCTTTAGGTATATTTGCTGTACCAACGTGAAAAAATTTCAAAATAACGGTTTGACTTTCAGGTTCTACTAGAGAATCACATGAAACCAGAAAATTGCCAACGAGCGTTCTGGGTTTTCACACATGTACATGTATGGCTCCAGAATGAAAACCAAATCCCATTTTCATTCTTTTCTCTTTTTCCCGTTTCTTTTGACAAATATTGACGAATGCAAAACATATCCTGGCAAATATCACGTAAACGCTACTTGTAATAACTCATACTAATCACACAATTGCACATGCAAACCTGGATATACTGGAGATGGACGCAATCGTAAAGGTACAGTCAATAATCCCAGATTGTTGTCGTTTTTTTGATATCATGGAAAGCCAGGATTTAATTTTTGTAACGTATAGGAAGGCAGTTACCCGACTAAAACTTTCGTAGTGCTAGCCTTTTTCACAGATAACTTGTTTTCTACATTTAAGACATTCTCTTGTTCTCACAATCCAGCAAAGGGTTGACTACAGCCGTAGTTGCAATCTTTAACACGGTAACCGCTTATGTACAGGGACGTTTGCATAATTATTAAATCTCCTTCTATCTGTAATTTCTTAGATATTGATGAATGTGAAGGAAGTCATCTTGTCGCTTAAGTGCTACATGCATAAACCGTGGGATCACACGACTGTCAATGTCAGCCTGTATATACTGAAAATGGAAAAAGCTGCACAGGTAGTTGTTCGCTTTCCTTAAAGTAAGAACCTGAGCTGGTGGGAAAAGTCTTACTTCAATGCAGGGCATGTTGCCATTGGTAGAAAATCAAATCCTTGATGATTTGTTTTACACTGTTTTTAATCATTACAAAACCTTTAAGGTCATTTTTCGAAATTCAGAATTCTGATACTTTTTGTTTGTTTCTTCTGCCTTTAGATGGACGTTACATTAATGACAGACAACAGTCTGGAACGAAATCGCAAGTTTGGCTTTGAATCTTGGAGCTAAAAGAAGGTGTAATATTTCATAAATGCGTCAAGCAACAAAATGAAGATGAAAAGAAAAATTAAATATAAGTACAGTATGCATTCAAACAAAATTTCAGTAATCGGTGACGTTATTAGTATTGACTGCCCGTCTAAATATAGCGAACTCCTGTGTAACCAAAAGAATAAAATTGAATGGATTCGGATACTGCTATCCATCGCTAATAAAATGTAATTACACATATTGATCTTTTAAGCGTCGTTGACTGAAAATGTCCCACACAAGTACTTCTTGACCTTAACGCTTAATAACTATGAGTTGTTCTTGTAAAATGAAAGGCCTGGTTTTGGTCGCTAAACTGCTAAAATTATGAGACGCTTTAACAAATCAGTTAACCATTTATTCTATTTACCACAATCATCTTTAACTTTGTAGCCGATCCGTGTAATACTTATAAAGAACTGAGCGATGCCAATAAAAGAAGGAGTAACAAAACGCCCAAATCTGGACCAGTGTTGGGTGACAACCAACTTCTTGAGGGATGGTTTCGTTTTGTGGGAGCTGCAGTAACAAAAATGCCAACAACGCGTGTGCCAGCATATAGATGTGATACAGATTGGTCAAGCAGGTTGAATGGTGCTCATCCTACAGTGGAAGATGATGAGGTTCTCAGAAAGGTCTGCTTTAGTAACCGTCCTACCGGTTGTAAATACCCAACAGAGATTTCTGTTGGGTATTTACATAGAAATCATAGCAGTATTTACATTGATCCTAAGGTACATTTTTTTCGGAGATTTTACGCAGTCCTCTTTTCGTCATAATAACTTTAATGATATTTTAAAATTACTTGGGCAGATTTTCTACGTTGATGACATCCTCATAAACTGTGCAATCAAGAATGCTTCAGTAGAATTTCATCGTACCGGTTATTTTCATTACTTCAGTAGATTTTGTACACTGGCTGCGTTCTGTTAAATTGTGATGATAAAAAATCTCATACGTAATAATTTGTAGGACATGTTTGCAACCAGAATAAGGAACGAAAAAAAGAATTAAAAAATTGAAACAATGAAAATGAAAGGAAAAATAACAAATATTGATATTCTGGACAAGCAGGATCACCATTTAGCACGACCACTAGCAAAATAAGAAGTAAGACTCTTTACAAGAATTAGATAGCTGTAACACAGGACACAAGTTACCTATATCACGTTTTCCAATTTTACGCAATATTTATGGACCCTAGGCAGGTGGTTCTCCACATCAGTCGACGACCAAAGTGTCTAATAAGGGTAATACGTTGTAAGAGATGGAAAAATAATTGAGGTTGGCGATAAACAAAGCGCAGCCACAAAGTTGAACACTAGGCAAACGAAAAAAAATCCAGAGAGTAGCATGGTGGGGGTCTGAACCCGGGACCAACAGATTACAACTCCAACGCGCCCTGGCCACTCGGTCACACTGCCGTCAAATCCGAACACATCTATAGAGAAAATTTTATAATTGGACGTTTTATTCCCGTTTCAGAACTTCAAAGTTTCAAACGATTTTCCAGAGGCGGAGTAAGAAAACAAATAGGTTAAACAGATTCACACCATTTCAATTTTTCACAAACCAACAGGATATATCAAAATGGATCGCTCATACGTTAGTTTGATTCAGAATTTGATACTTTGAACATGGCAGTCACGAAGTGTCGCGATAGAGCTCATTTCAGCAATTGGACACGTCAATTTCGCAATGCCTAGAATTTTGTGATGATATACACCGAGGTTTGATCATTCTAAAATTAGACGTCACATTGGTTAACTATCTAATCATATTTTCAACTTGAATTTTATTTTTAACTCAAGAAAACATGGATAGACAATTACTTCAAGCTGATGCGAGTTCGTGCAAGTTGTAAATAACACTTTTAAATGGTTAAGAAACTTATCAGTAGATTTTGTTGTAATGTTAGATTTAGCATCAAAATTAAACTGCGTTTATTGCAGTTTCTCGCTGAAAAAAATTTTATGTTTGTTTGTTTGGCTTTTTTTTTTCTGGTAGAATAATATCTATTTGAGCTCAGTAGGAGAGCTGTTATTACAAAAAAACTGCCCTCGTTCGAATAATAAAAAAGACGATTACGGCATGAAAAAGAAATCTTCAAATGTCACTGTGAGTTGAATGGGGAAATGTTATTCACGATTCCCTTCATTTCATTTTTTTCCCATGTCCAAGAAGAAAGTTGAAAACAGATCGAGCTACTGATGCAGAACATTGGCTGGTTTCTTTATAAAACTAAAAAAACCTATCAGAATATGGTTAAATCATAGTTGGGCTAATCAAAGAAAACTGATAGAGGTTGATTAATTCCGAGGATTAACTTGATAAATTTTGTAGAGATGCTTGGCGAATTCAAACTAGCTTGACAAAGATTGTACAGCGCCTAGTCAATATTTCACGGCAAAAAACTAGCGTTTACCGTATCGAACACGAAGATTGAATTCACGGAAAACGCAGCATTTTATAAACGTTTACACACGTTTTGCGTACGGAAAATCCAACGTTTTCTATGCGTTTTCCCATCGGTGAATCCCAGTTTTCGTTCCATTATACGGTAGTTTTCCCTCGCGGTAAATGCAGGTAAACAAATCATTTTCCGGCGTTAACCGCTCGGTTAACGTACCGCAAATAGCTTATTTTCTTTTGTTCATTGGCATTTTCCCAGTGTACAGCAACGTATTCACCGGAGTTTGCGGCTGAAAACGCACATTTTCCTTGAAGGTTAATGTGTGTAAATGCAGGAAAACGTAATGATTTCCTGCGTTTGCCGTTCGTACAACGCATAGAAAATGTACATTAATTTCACACGAACCATTTTCAGAGAGTGTTCTGCAGTGATTGAACATCAAAGTAAATGTAATGGACCTTTCAGAATCTGTTAATCCGTTTTCATACAAGCACAAGCTACACAATACAGTAAGTTTCTACGATTTTTGCTAAGCCTGGAAGGGATTTGAACCCATGACCTCTGCGACACCAATGCAGTGCTATACCAACAAAGCTGGCAAGACCACTGAGGGCTGGTCATTATCTTAGCCTCATAATAAACCCGTGAAGTGATGAATCGATGACTGTGAATACATGAAAGTCATATATATGAATTGCGCATTGAGAATTGGGAGCTTGTCATAATGTCGCTTCGTAATAAACCCGTGAAGTGAATATATGAAAATCACATTAGCTCTGTTGGTAGAGCACTGCAGCGGTATTCCAAAGTCCATGGATTCAAATCTCGTATGGCCTGAACTTTTCAGGCTTTATTTTCACTACTGCTTAAGTAGTGCTCACTGCTGCGAAGATCTTTTTCATATTCATTTATTAATCCGCAGTTCCCATGCATGATTTTCATATATTCACGGTCATTAGCTATATTTTCTGTTTTGCAGGCAAGAATCTCGGGTACGAAAATTTGAGAGAAATTTCTTTGCTTTAATGGCCTAAAACGAAATCAAAGATCACCATTTTTTTTAAATACGCCGAGAGGATTTAGACAGGGATTTTGAGGGAGACCTTAACTCACATTCGGAGATTTATCAACCGAAGGAGAAATGAACGATAAAGGCACAGGTAGCCCAGGCTCGCTGGATGCGCCCTATTAAAAGTGCAAATATGGGTACGCTCTCTCGCACTCGGAGGAGACTATAGTTCGCAGTGGTTAGGTTCGGACGGCACAGTTTGGCACTAGCCCTAAGATGTGTGTTGCTAAAATTTTCACAGAATTTAGAGTAGATGTAAATTCCTATATTACCTTATAGATAAGAGGAAAATAAAGCCTGGAATCTTGCAGTTTGCTAGAACCGGACATGATACTAAGAAAAAAATCCATTTTGATTATTTTCAATCGACAGCCGAATTGATACGGCGCTATTGTTTGCCACAGCGAAAACCACACTAAAATTTTGCAGAAAAGAAGAAAGGAGCTTTGAATGGGGCATTTTGATGAAGTGAAAAATAACCCAACAAACTCTGCTAATATATCAAAAATGCTTATGGACAAGTTTGAAACTTTTTCCTTGTTTTATTACATTTCTCAAGAGAGAAGTCCTTATTTTGTCAACTTCTTTAAAGTTGAAAAAACACACTGCCTTACATTTCTAATAGTTTGTTCGATAGTTAAAGAAATTCAAAATGTATTTTTGGAGAAAAATTGATACGGAAATAAAGCTCCTTACTCTCTATCGAACATACTTTCTGTGCTGAGTGGTCAAGACTGCAGGAGTTGCAGATCATCGCAGAGACGCAAAGAGGTCTTAATACATTGGTCGGAGTTGCAAGGTCTCCAAAATTTCAAGCCTTGCAAGTACAACTTTTGGTCACGGCCATTTCAACCTAAATTTTTAGCGAAAACGCAATGGTTTTACTGGGTCTACACTGAGTAAAGAAGTTTCTATATTTGGATCTCACCTACCCTGGTATCTATTGGGTCATTGCGCGATATTATCGAAAAACACCTGTTTGACCAGACTTAAAAGGCTGAACGCACGCAAATCATGCTAATGCTAGTGCATGCGTTCAAGTCTTCCAACTTGTACTATAGTATAAACTGATGGTAGAAAATAAGATAAAGAATCATACAAGGAAACTAAACACGTTTTCTAAAATCATGGATGATAGAAAAATAAACTTCTGTCTTTCCAGTCCCATTAACATAGATTAACTTTGCCTGTATACTGTAATCGAATAAAGCTAGATCTATAATTATAATGCCTTTGCGCCTGGTGTGACAGGCGATACTTTCAAGCAATTAATAATAACAGTTATAATCCAAGAGGCATTACACCGGTCAATCCGTTGCATTAGGTTAAATTATTCGCTGCGTATTTTACCAATTTAGCTTTTTGTGCAAAGAGCCCAAACAGGAAGAGGGAAGTTCATTTCTAATATTAATGATCATCTTGGCTTGAAAACAACAGTTTCTATCGTAACCATAGCTACCAGGCAGTAATAAAAGGAAACACGTTTGGCTCAATAACACTTAAGTTGGGCACCAGAGAACGTTGGATCTTGGAAGGTAAGAGATGACTGTAGTTAATGCATGAAAAACGAGTTTGACTTTTACCCCATGATAAGATATGATATCCACCTTAACTCCTTTATTTCCGTGTAGTTGAAATAAAACGAAAATGAAATTTACCGAGCTTCCAAATGTGGGTATCACAACCATTTGGCAAGAAAACATTTTCCGGTACTCGAAATAAACAGGATCATTATCCATAATTTTTATTTTCCTACAACAGGTTTACTTCGTGAACCTTTTCTCAACGATATCTGTTTATGTTATAATGACACCCCTTGTAGAAATTGTAGTTCCATCATTACCATAAACAGAGTAATAAGCCAAATTCTAAAAAGTCAGTGCTGGCGGTTCCAAGCACGTCACAAATTGTGAAACTGGAAAAGACAGGAAATTCCGTAAGGCGATGAGAGAGAATTTAATACAATGATGAAGCCTACTCTTTGGGTTCAATTTACATTAAAGAAAAGTAACGTTGATGGAAATAATCTTCTGTATTTGAAAGATCCAACTTGCCAAAACCTATGCCTGTTTATTTCTGTACTTCTAAAGATTTCCTTTCACAGATCCTTTTGTTTTATCCCTCAACTTTGACTGCCATGCAGCACGTTTGAATTCCGTTCAAATTATGGCAAAAGTGATGATTTTGAAATAGAAGAACCTTGAAATATATGGAAGACGATTTGCAAGGCTCCCACTCAGAAAAATTAGTCGGGAACGTTGGCTCACAGGTCTCGTTAACCTTAAGTCCGCACCAATTTTATCTAACGGAGGAAAACCTGAAACTTTTTTTGCAATTTAAAAAGTATTCCAGTGAAGGTCTTGGAAGCCAGATTCGATACTGAATGGTTTGGCTGAGTCCAATCATAAATTACGGCACTCCTTTTCCAAATAACAATTTGCTATTATCCTTGAGATCAAGTTTGCGCATAAATCAACATTCAGAGCGTCGTCTCGCTAAAGCCCTGAGTTAAGTATAGCAGCTGTCTACTACTGGATCGTTCTCAATCATTATAAGGTATCTTAGGAGTTTTGATTCGACACTCTTGGTGCATTCCTGATGTATCAAGGAGTAGGTCGTAAGTTGCTTGGCAAACTCATGGAATTTCAGTGGCTTAAGATCCCCTGTTTACGAAAGATTTTCTGTTCGTTCAAAATTAAAGAGCTCAGGAGAACTCATCTTTAATTAATTTTGACGTTAATGAATGCGAGGGAACATAAAACGACTTGTTATTGAGGATCTCAAAGAGGAAAACTATCTTTAAATCCTTGCGCACATGTATCGTTTAGGGTAAGCATGAGGGCCAAGCGAGAGAATATTTCGCTCGATGTAATAAAGTGGGTGGTACAGTTTGGCACTTGCCCGAAGATCTGTGTCGCTACATTTTTTACAGAATTTAGAGTTGATGCAAATTATTATATTACCTCATAGATAAAAGAAAAATAAAGCCTGAAATATTTAAAAAAAAAAAGTCAATTTTGGTTACTTACAATCGACAGCCGAATTGATACGGCGCTATTGTTTGCCACTGCGAAAACTACATGTATTAAATATTTGTAGAAAAAAAGAAAGGAGCTTTGTACGGAGTTTTTCGATGAAATGAAAAATAACGCAATATACTCTGCTATTAGTGCAAAACATGCTTATGGCAAAGTTTGAAACTTTTTTCTACTTTTATAACATTTCTCAAGTGGGAAATTCATCCTTATTTTGTCAACTTATTTAAAGTTTCGGTCGGTCAATTGAGGAAATTTTCATTAGCACACTGCCTTAAATTTTTGATAGTTTATTTGATAGTTAAAGAAATTCAAAATGTATTTTTGGAGAGTAAATGATAGAGAAATAAAGTTCTTGAAAAATTGATACGGAAATAAAGCTCCTTACTCTCTATCGAACATACTTCCTGTGTTGAGTGGTCAAGACTGCAGGAGTTGCAAATCATCGCAGAGACGCGAAGAGCTCTTTTACAATCGCATTAAATAACCCCTGGGTGTATGTCTCACAATGAAAACTTTACTAATATATTGGTCGGAGTAACAAAGTACTCAAAATTTCAAGCTTTGCGAATGCAACTTTTGGTCACGGCCATTTCAACCCAAATTTTTTAGCGAAAACACAATTTTACTGGCTCTTCACTACGTAAAAAAGTTTCTATATTTGGATCCCACCTACCCTGGTGTCTATTGGGTCATTAGGCAACATTGTCTAATAACTGTTAGACCAGACTTTAAACGCTTTACGCATGCAAACACGTCTAGAGCATGGGTAGCCGTTCAAGTCTTTCAACTTGTATCATTGTATAAACTGATGGTAGAAAGTAAGATAAAGAATCATACAAGGAAACTAAACACGTTTTAGAAAATTATGGACGACAGCAAAAAACACTTCTGTCTTTCCAGTCCCGTTAACATTGATTAAATATATATATTTATTGTTTTTTTAGAGGGCACGGTAACGAATCCTGCAATCTGATTGGTTCTTTACCCGGTCAGTATTTTCCTATCTCTGCCCACGGGCCACGGTAACGCTTTTGTGAATCGCCGAGTACATCCCAACTTTCGTTGCCTTTTTTCATAAATATACCTCGTTTTCCGGCTGGGCAGTATTTTAAAGCAAACAAGTCGGTCACTACCTCAAGCCGATAAATAACTTATGAATCCTCTCTTTTCTCTCTCTCAAATCACTTTGGTTGACAGAAAAATATTGGTTTCAGAATGAATTTGTATAAACAATAGTGTCATTACGTTGGTTGACAAGCGGCCTAAAAACTGTCTGCAATTAATTTTAATCGTTCACAAAAAGTACCCAGAAAGTTAAAACGTGAGGTATTGGGTTACAGTTAAACTGAACGATGGAACTTTCATTAATTTAATATCTGAATTTTCTCGAGAAAATTGTTAGTAGAGAAAGAGCGAGCAAAGTTTTAATTTAAGTTCTACAACAAATATAGGCTCCCGGTGAGTCTTTCCAATTCCGTTCAATTTGGACATTTGTACCGTTAATTACACAACAGAAACTGAAGGAATTTTTTGAGAAAAGGCCGCATTAAATTCCCTTGTGTCTCGTTGGAGTGTGCCGTTCGAATTTAGTTTTTGTGAAGGAAAGACCAGATTTACACACGCCATTGCAGCAAACAAACGAGCAAACTCTCACAACTTCAAAATAAAAAAATTGAATTTACTCACAATTACTTTCCTCGCCGTTTACTTAATGAACAGAGGTAAATCTTCGTACATGAATGAATCGTCGATGAGAGTGAATAATACTTTCCGTTAGATCATTGACTGATTTTGAAGAAAACATTGACGTGACAGTCCTTGCCAAACTAGTTACGTTGTTTTTCAAATGCTCTTATGCTTTTTTTTTTCCTTACGCGCTCTCTAATTGACAGGTGTCAGATTGTGACAGATACTTGTAAAAATAATGTTTCAAAGTTTGTTTGGAAGCCTTTTAAATCACCTTTATCGTTACGGAAATGAAAATGTTTCGCTGAGGCATCTCTCTTTTAATTTGCTTCACCTCTATTTTAACTACCATTTACTCGCTCAAAAATTGTTCAGTTTATGGAAGATCTTGCCGTATTTACAGTCCTAAATCATTTGGGTTCTTTCGGAAAGAATTTCGTCAAGTTTAAAAACAATAAATATGTTATTTACCGGCTAAGGGTCGGTCCGTATGGTGAAAAACTGTGACCGAGGTCTTGAAAATGCTGCCCTCGGCCTACGGCCTCGGGCAGTATTTTCAAGACCTCGGTCACAGTTTTTCACCATACGGACCTCCCAGCCGGCAAATAACATATATATATTCAGGTCGAATAAAATGAATAAAGATAAGAAGCACGTAGTGGTAAATTCTCCTCTTCTTCTGTGTTTGTGTGAGTCTCAAAACCATTTTTGCTGGACTTGCCTTGCATTTTTATTGATGTGTCTCGTTTCTTCTCTCAAATTCATTTGCATTGCATTTGTTTGACATGAATTACCAAAAAACGATCTATAATCATAATGGAGTTTACACCTGGCGTGACAGGCGATACTCAAGGAATTAATAATAACATTTTATAGTCCAAGACGCATTTGTCCACTCAATCCGTTGCATTAGGTTAAATTCTTCGCTGCGTATTATTTTACCAATTTAGCTTTTTGCGCAAAGAACCCAAACAGGAAGAGGGAAATTCATTTCTAATATTAATGATCGTCTCGGCTTGAAACTAACAGTTTCTATCGTAACCATAGCTACCAGACAGTAATAAAAGAAAATGACTGTACTGAATGCATGAAAAACTTGAGTTTGACTTTCACCCCATGATAGATATGATATCCAGCCTTAACTCCTCTATTTCCGTGTAGCTGAGATAAAACGAAAATAAAATTTACCGAGCTTCCAAATGTGGGTATCACAAATATTTGGCGAAAAAACATTCATGCAGCTACTTGAAAGAAACAAGATCAGTATCCTTAAATTTTATTTTCTTGAACAAAACATTTACTATGTTAAACAATAGAGAAAAACGTATTGTTTATTCTCGTAGAGTGCGTGAAGCAGGCTAAATGTTTCATCGTGCACAAATTGTGTGGATGATTTTATCACACGGACGGAGAACGAAAAAAGCCTTGAGTAAAAGAAATTGTCGCATTAAAATCTTCTATTAATCACTCAATAAAAAAAATTACGATCACACGAACTTTGTTCTGCGTTTTGAGGCAGAAGGCTGAGAGGTTTGTTTCCAATCGGAAGCAGTAGAAAACTCTATAAAAGAAGATCATGCCGTTATAGTGCAAATTTCTTGCCCGATAGTTGCTTATAAGAGTTTTTGGATTAAAAAGTCTAAGACAACTTAAAGTCTCGGTACCTGCTTTTCCTGGGTTTTTCGCCGTAAATTAGACCTCCTCAAGAAGGTAATCGAAATTTTTACAATATTGTTCTAAGGACTAATTTCGGTGTCTAATACGCATGTTAACATGTAAAGATATTCCTTTGAGACCCAATTCTCTCCATCGAGCGAAGCGAATAACATCCATTTGCGTCATTTGCATTAATTTCCACATAGAACTGACAGCTGCAAGCTTTTTTTTTAAATTTATTTTCATAATACGGTTTGTTCATAAAAATAGGTCGATTTTGGAAGCTTAATCCACTGCTGGGACCTGGCGATCAACTTAAAACTTGTGTCATACGCGCGGGGTAGAAACAGAAAACCGTTACCTTGAAGAAGGCATGGAATTTGTTCATTTTTCATTTTCATAACATGGACTGCATTATTCACTGACTTGACTTTTGGAAAAGGTGAGTCGCAGAGAGAGAATCATTTTTTATCCTTGGATTCACTTATGACTACAACCTTATTAATATATCTCCTTTATTCTCTTTTGCTGATACAAAAATAGAAAATGTTACTAGAATTAGCAAAGACTAAGTCAAAAACCGACATTCGACATCCACCCGTGATTGGAACTCATTTTTGAAAAATTAAAAGGTATTTAACGGAAATTTGTTATCGTTTCTTATTAAGAAAATTGGATTTTGGATGCAAAACGACCAAAAACTTCGGCAAATACGAATTAATTTATTCAAAATGGTTACATTCCCATCTCTCCTCTCTCAACAACATTTAAGCATGGCACTATGTTATGTTCAATTTCCCTGTGTTTTATAAGGCGGGAATTTGATATTTTTGCATCGTATGGAAACACATTTTAACCGCTCCTAATCGTCTCAGAAAAATTGTTTTTACATAAGAACAGTGCTGACATATGGTAAGGAATAGTTGTATTTTTCTTGTTGTATATTCGTCCATAAACATAGTTTATCTATCAAAAGTTTAAATCGCTTATTGTGCAAGTCTCAGAGAAAGTTACAAGCAAAAACATGTTTAAGGATTAGTTTAAAGGTACTCACCTCAAAAACAGGTGGCATCTGTCGACCGTTAAATTGTTGATAATTTCAATATTTTTGGTTTGAAAAATATAGTGTTTGACTTTTTATTTTAATTTGCTCTCTCCTGGAAAAAATGAAAAAAAGCGAAAAAAGTGTTATTAAGAAAAACGATTTTTTTTTCATGACATCGATCATGAAGTAGAGAAGGAATTTGAGAAAAATTTGCGGATAGCTTATTAACGGCTTTTGTTCCATCTCCCCTAAAATAATAAGAGGAGAGAAACAAAACACACGAAAATGCTCTCCACTAACCTTGTGTCTTCACAAAAGACAAGTGATGCTCGATGCTGTCAAGTTTTGTTCTTGTTTTTGTTCTTGCGGCGCTGGAGATATTTATCTAGGGCCCAATTATACAAAAAGTTAGGAATTTCAAATATAACAGCGGTGACAGCGACATCAACAAAAGAAATTAAAAACATCACTCAAATTTGCCTTGTCCCAAGCATTTTATTTGTTAACCTTCTTTATCTCAGATAGGCAAAAATCCGCAAATGAAGGTAGTATTAATTTTTCTCCATTTTCCCGTATTCTTGGTGGGCTGGTTAAGTTACACGGAACCTATAATTTTTTTTTCCTAATTTTACAAGATAGCACACCAAAAGTAGAGTTATAAGGGAAAAAGGATCTGGCAACCGTTTCCTTATAAACTCCTGTCCTCAAGAAGACCGTAGAAAATGAAATAGAGGCAATGCATAATTCAAGGTACGAATAAAATTTATTGGATGTCTTACCACCTTGATGTACTACGAGCCTGCTGCTTAATGTTCCTACATGATTTTAAAACCTAAATGCTGTGATTTTTTTCGTGATGGCTAAAAGGTTCCAAGGATTCTGTTATCGATTATAAAACGACGATATAATGCCAGTTTCTGAGTGGCCTTGAGTTGTTTTCCTCTAACGGAAGCAGTATTGCTATGGTAGTCAGCGTTTAACTTCCCGAACCGATTATATCATGAATGCTTGAGTAAAAACTAGGTAAATCATAATTTACCCTTCGTTAAGTGTAAGATGAAAAGTTCAGGATGAAGATTATAACATACACGATGCTTCGCAAAGTAAATCTTGCAAGCCTCACCACAATATTCTGTATTTCTAGCATCTGCATTTCCTTGATTGTTAATTCCATATTCTACATATGCACCTACTTACTTCGTTTCAAGGCCCCAATAAAACACGTTTAACGAAAGATGAATCGTAATCGTAATCGTAATCATGAGCTTTAGTCGAACAGTTTGATCTATTCGTAATTGCAAAAAATAGCACGATTTAATATATCGACTGCCTAAATAAAGTATTCTCTATATCGTTGAAAACGCGAATGAGACCAGTCGACACTCAAAAGACAACTATCTGATAACAACTCGAATAGTAAACAGGGCATTAAGAGCGACGCTGAATAAGTTCCCTGAAAAATGCAAGCCTCTTAACTTAGGCAAAACCCATGTCTTGAAAGCTGTCTTTGAAACAATTTCACTATTCTCTACTGGAACTTTTTCTTGAATTTATGTACAGTTCTTCGCCTCAGATACAAAACAAATGAAAAATGTTCCTCCGTGCATAAGTTCTAAAGATTGTTTGACAGTTTTCAATTTCAGAAATTGAACCATTCGTGCATCGAGACTAATACAATTGCAAATTTTAACAATAGAGACTTGAGGACTAGAAATGTGGATCACACAATTTTTCCAACATTTTATTTCTTTAATTAAATTGAAGTTCGAAATTATTGAGCTATTTTTCCGTGGCATATCACATCTAATAAGAACTTAAACAATTATGAGCGTAACTTGAAAATTCGAGCAAATTCTACCGAAGAATTAGGCAAGCTGGAAAAATATATGAGATGATTTATTAAAGACGTCATTTTGTGGCTCATATAAAGACATAAAAAGCTTCTGTTATCTGCCTTGTCTGTCATCTTGAACAAAACACTTACTATGTTAAGTAATAGGGGAGAAATTAATTGTTAATTCTGGTAAAAGTGCGCCTAAAAAAATGTTTTAAAACTCCCACAGAATGCGTGAAGCTGGCTAAATGTTTCACCGTGCACAAATTGTCGGGATGATTTTATCATACCGGGACGGAAAACGTTGTGCTTCCTGTCTAACTTGTAGTGACGAAGCCCTGGGAAGAAGATCGAACGATCTTACAAGAATAGGAACTTTTGAAATAATTTCGAATCATTATTACGAATTGATTTAAGGTTTCTTGAGACGAGACAGAGGACAATTCAATGAACTATTAGTAATGCGAAAAGGACATAAGTAAATTTCAAGACAGTGTGTATAACGAAAGAAAGAAAGTTATATTTGCAGCGCCATTATTTTATTTGAACTACACTGTCGATGACTCATTAAAAACCGTCATGCTAAAAAATATTTAGCAACAGCTTTTAAGTATTTGGCATATCAGCGTAAATTTACATCGTATTTTGTTTAATCTTTTTGTCCTCATTGTCAACTTGAATTTGTATTGTAGCTCTTAAGCCTTTGAGGAGCGGGAAAATCGTTTGTATCGCGTGTGTTTGACGTCCGTGAATTATGGTCATTGTGGCTTTCGCGCAAGATGGAGCTGTGTAAATATTCACCGTAAATTCCAACACGAATCGTCAGTATTTTCAGTAAAGTCAGTAAAGACTTCCTCAAGGCCAGAGCAAGTTTTCAAAGTAAAATCGCGCGACAGTTTGATGAAAGTCCTTTCTTAATTAGAGAACTAACTTTCAAAACCACAAACATGTGCAAATTTTTTTTCTCGCTTAGTAAGAATATATCATCTCTTCTCAAGTTCTTGTCGAGGTCGAGTCATCATCACTTCACATCTGGAACCGAAATTTCTGAATAGAGATTTTTAATCCTTGTACATTTGTTCTTCTATGGGCAATTTAAGAACCTCTAATGGAGGGAGATATCCGCACGCTAAAAAGCTTCGTATTAGGGTTGATTATCACCTGTTTCAGTTGATTTAGGGAGCGAAGTTTGTTGAGAATAATGTGTCTGCGTATTTTAACTCCAAAAACTGACAAATTAAGGCGAGCTTGAAACGGGAACATGGCTTTTCTGTTAATTAAATGTCTATTGTTACCAAAGTTGCTATACGTCAAATATTAAAAATACAATTAAATTTTGCAGGGTATTTATCTCTTGGTGGGAATGAATGAAAAATGTGCTGGACAAATATGCTGAAAAATATGCATGATCTTTTAAATTTTGAAAGTTCTTTTTATCAAAAAGTCTAAAAGAACTTAACGTCTCAGTATCTGCTTTTCCTGGGGTTTTTCGCCGTCAATTAGACCTTCAAGAAATTGATCAAAATTTTTACAAAGTTGTTGTCCTGGGGACTAATTTCACTGTCTAATAAGTATGTTAACATTTAAAGATATTCCTAAGAGATCTAATTCTCTCCATCGAGCGAAGCGGATGACACCCAATTGCGTCATTTGCATTAATGTCCACATAGAACCGACAGCTACAGGCCTTTTTTTAAAATTTCTTTTCATAATACGGTTTCATTCATAACGACAGGTCGATTTGGGAAGCTTAATCCACTGCCGGGAGCTGGCGATCAACTTAAAACTTGTGCCATACGCGCGGGGTAGAAACAGAAAACCGTTACCTTGAAGAAGGCATGGAATTTATTTCATTTTTCATGTTCATAGCCTGGAATGCATTATTGACTAGCTTCACTTTTGGAAAAGGTGAGCCGCAGACGGAGAATCATTTTTTATCCTTTGATTTACTTATGAGATACAAAAAGAATTAAAGTTACACCAATTAACAAAGACCGACATTCAACATCCACCCATGATTGGAACTCGTTTTTGAAAATTTAAAATTAAACAAAAATGTTTTATCGTTTCTTATTCAGAAAGATTAGATGAAAAACGGCAAAAACGACAAAAACGACAAAAACTTTGCAAATACAAATTACTTCATTGTACAATGAATGTACAACATTGTACAGAACAGTGCTGACATATGGTAAAGAATAGCTACATTGTTTTGTTGGATATTCGTCCATAAAATAAAAATCGGGTATTGTGCAAGTGTCAGAGAAAGTTATTAGCAAAAATACATTTAAGGATTAGTTTAAAGGTACTCACCTCAAAAACAGGTGGCATGACTACCGTTAAATTGTAGGTACTTTCGATATTTTTGTTTGAGAAATATAGTGTTTGACTTTTTTCATTTGAATTAACCATTTTGCGAGAAAAATTCGAATTTCCCAACGTATATATCGATAGAAACGTCTTGAACCCGTATATGAATTTCCTGTGTGACGCCTGATAACGATGGCCTGTCTTAATGGCAATTAGCATAATTTTCCTCTTTCCATGATAGTCGGTCAAAATAACCAAAGGCGATCGTTTAAACTCGAGGTTTAAGGTTTATAAAAAAAAATGATTTTTTTTCATGACTTATCGATCATGAATTAGAGAAAGAACTTTTGAGAGAAGGAAAATTTTGCGGATAGCTTTTATTAACGGCTTTTGTTCTATCTCCGCTAAATAATATCGTTCAGGGGAAACAAGAAGACACGAAATGCTCTATAAACATCCTTACTTCACAAGTGATGATCGCTGCTGCTAATTTTTGTTTTCGTTTTACTTTTGTTTTTAAACTTTGGACGGGAGGGAGAGCTGAGGTTAATTATCTTGTGCTCTATTACACAAAATATTCATAATTATGATAGATTACAGCAACAGTAAAAGATTGACGGATCGCTTTTCTTTATGGATTTTGCCCTATCTCCCCTAAAATAATATCGCTCCGGAAAATAGAGAGATTGAACCTTCTCTCTAAAAGACTTGCTTCTTCACAAAAGACAAGTGATGGTCGCTGCTACCAATTTTTGTTTGCGTTTCACTTTTGTTTTGAAAGTTTTTTTCAGTGGGGAAGGGGACTGGGTGTAACTATCTAGTGCCCTAAAAACTTTACTTAAATTTGTCTTTTCCGCAAGCATTTTATGTGATGTTTTGTGTGATGTTTTGTGCCATCTGATCGCGGATTTGAGACATGGAAAATTGTCCTAGATACTTATGTTCTTAGAAAGACAAAAGTCTGCAAATGAAGGTATTATCAATTTTTCTCCATTTTCTGTAGTAATGGTTTAATTGAGATCACAGTTCTTTGTTCATCAAGCGTGTTATTTTGCACGCTTAATAACTGAAATCGTGAGTTTATTTCTGTATGATAAGAAAAAAATATTTTCTAATTATATTTTGATTGCTTTATTTAAGAGCGAGATCGCACAATGCTGTTTCCAGAATACTTCTTCTTTGCTGAAAAACGTTTGGAAAACCATGAAATCGAAACCAAATACGTCAAAGACTTGGATCAATGTGAGCTTTTCTGCTACATGAACGACAACTGCGTCAGTGCTAACTTCAAAAAAGAGCCAGATACAAGTGTAATGGCTCATGTTTGTGAACTGAATAACGCCACTCATCTTGACCATGATACTGACCTGATAACTGATGCTGATTTTTATTATCGAGGCTCAAAGGTAAAATATAAAGTATAACTCAAATTCAGCAACTCGGCGATGAATCACGGAAAACAAACGACGTTTAACAAAACTTAAGTTCGTTCATTCATGTATCAATCATTCAATACATTGATCTTCTTTAATTTTTCTTTTTTTCTTTTTTCTTTTCAGAACGCGTGCGGTAAAAACCTCCTGTGTCAAAATAATGCAACTTGTCAGTCCGGTTTCACAATCAAGGGATATCGATGCTCGTGCCCCCCTGGATTCGAAGGAGAACATTGCGAAAAAGGTTAATTACAGTATAGACCGATAAGAACAAAACATTTCCCGGAGTATTTAAACCCCCATATTTATATATCACGTTTGGTCGTCGAGTGCGTATCTTAACGGAAGACTACCAAGGCTGATCTTTGACGACTGATATTAGGCTACAATTTGAAATGGTGTCTAAAGAGAGATTCCGCTGCAGTGAAAGTTTTGGGTCAGACTAAATTAAAAATTAATTTGACACAATGATAACAGACTAAAAGCTTTTTCACCGCATAAGAGTTTTAAAAAGCGAATGTATATCTCACTACTACCGTTCTAGAATTTTTCTTTTCTTTACAATATTTTAGATATTGATGAATGCCAAAAAAATACTCACGATTGTCACCTGAACGCTACTTGTCAAAACACAAATGGATCCTTTGTGTGCACCTGTTTATTTGGATTTAACGGAGATGGACGGAACTGCACAGGTAAAGGCCTTTAGATTGTACGTAATTGTCTCGTTATGACTTTGAGAAATGTTAATTTGCTTGTAGTTGTTTGTTTAATTTGTACTTTCCTTCTTGGTTGATTTGTTTGTTTGTTTTGATAAAGCAGTTACCCTTGCCTGAACATTTTTGACCAATGGCAGAAAATGAAAATCCTCAATCCCAATTAAACGCAAGGGAACAAAATGCTGAACGTCTTCGTTGACCAGCTTTCTCTTTAATAAAACATAGCGACCAACAACTCTCTAACGACAACTATCGCACTCAATGTTCAAAATAAGGTTTATACATGTATCATACTCCAAGAATCGTGATTGAAAGCCTTTCATTTCTAAGATATTGACGAATGTGCAAGAAATCTTTCTTGTCATGTGAATGCTACCTGTACCAACACCATTGGATCACATGTATGTACATGCCACACTGGATACACGGGAGATGAAAAATCTTGCTGGGGTAATTTTAAAAATTTTCCTTCAATCCCAGCTATTTAAAGCGGAGAGTAATCTAAAACGTCTTTTTAACTCAAATTATGGTGTCAGAAGTAGTCAAACATTTATCCTAAAATGTAGTTCTACTCCATAATTCACCTCTCATTAGAAATGGTGGATTATTTCACTTTGTCCCACATCTTTTGAGATTAGGTTTGCAGTATTCATGTACAGGTGTTCATTAGATATTGATCAACCAAACATTTTTCAACATAACATCCAATTCTGGTTTGTTACTTGGTGCACTTGATCCTCATTAGACATCGACGAGTGTTCAAACATAAACATCTGCAATAAGAACGCCTTCTGCAGTAATACCCAGGGCTCCTACAGTTGCGCCTGTAATCCTAAATACACTGGGGATGGTTTGACTTGTAAAGGTTAGTCTCTTGTAATTGATCCTTTAAAAAATTTGTAAAGACGGTACTGGCTGAACTCGCTGTAAATAATCTTGAGTGAAATGCTATTCTTGTTTGACCATATAACAAATCACGTTAGTTTTTAGTGCCTTTAAATTGCTTGGAAACGTCCTTCGACAAACAAATAGGGAAAAAGAAAGATACTTTTGATTTTTTTATAGACTTAATATGCATGGTTTTTGTCCTCCAGGGGAGAAAACAATGATCCCCATCATTTATTCCTGATGACGCATAACTGTTTTTGTAAATAGAATTATTATGAGGCTGTGTCTCGAATAGATTAAAAGCAATCGACCAAAATAATCTGACTGGCTAAAATCGATGTTGACAGCGGTTAAGATTTTCCCATTTTAGCCTATTAAGGTGATTCCTAAGAGCATAAATATTATCTGACGGTTTTTTTCAATCTTTTCTTTAATGTTCCCTATCAATGTCTGTTTCGGAAGATACAATAAAAAAGACAGGTCACCGTTCTTGTTCGGTAGCTGGAAGCAAAGATTTTCAAAGTAAAAATTTAAAAAAAAACCTTGAAAGGCACAAAGTCTTGAACGTAGGGAACAATTTGATATATAATTTGTGAAAAATCAAGTAATTTAATCGACATCGACTTAAAACGTTCCTCGAGTCGTTGCTCTCAATGTCATAATTTTCATTATCAAGATGATTTTTAAATTTCTCCAATTTAACGGGGCTAACTTGTACACCAAAATTATGCTATGAAAAAAGAGGTCACCGTGCTTGGTAAAGAACTAAAGAGCATCGCACCTCTTTACAGGGTCCATTGATTGAAAAGCAATATCGTGCTCTCGGAATTCGCGCGCGCTTATTCGCTTGATTACGTGATTTTTTTACGCAGTACAGGATGCCCAGTGCAATACTAAGGAATCTCCTTTAGTCTGAGAGCAAGATTCAATTTGTTAGATCATTTCAATAGTAATTAATGGAAGAATGAATACCAAAAATTAGGATGCAGGCAAAGAGAATAAGGCTAAGCTACGAGCAAAGTATGAAGTCGACATTGAAGACTTTTTGCAGGCAGAAATCCAGCAACACTTAATGCGAGACTAGGAGTGACTTAAATGGAAAGAAACATATTTTGTCAGTCGCTGGAAAAGGTTCGAGCAAAACTGCAATAACCAGAAAAACTCAACAAGACACGAACCAACTTCTAAGTCATGTTTTTGGGCTGCCAAATCGAGCAAGGTTTCGTCAATTCAAAAATCGATAAATTACAGTGACACTCATTTTCAACTTAATCAAACTTCTCCTCTTGAAGTTCTTTCCTTAAGGAGTCGTATATTTAAAAAACTTTCGGTATTTTCTGTCAAATTTACGAGAATTCAAAGTTGAAATAGTTCCATTCACACGGAGCTGGCACTTGCCAAAAGTTTCAGCTTGCCTTTTTATTACGCGAATTTTGATTGGTGTATGTGTTGTCAGATGCCCGATTTGATTGGCTATATGGAAACACTATCGTCCAGAGCATGTATTGAGAAAATGGATATCAGTCAAGCTATAAATAAACAGCATTTACCTTCTTCTGCAATTTTATTGGAGAAATATGCCTAAAATATATAGGGTATTTTTTTGTGAAAAAGTTTTCTGTGTCGTAGTAGAATTGTAATGTAGTAAATAGTTTTCTTCAAAGTAAGCAGATATGCCTGAACAACTTCGTTGGGAGCCGATTACTGCTTAAGCAACAGAGAACCTTTTTTTCGGTGTTTACATTCTCTCATTTAAACACTCGGAGGGTTGGGAAATTTCTTGAAAGTTATGCAAACCCTCGACTGCGTGTCGGGTTTGCATAATCTTCTCAAATTCTCCCAACCTCCTCTCGTGTTTAGATGAGAGTATGTAAACACGGTAAAAAAGGTTTTCTTTTGCTTGAGCAGTAATCGGCTTTTAACGAAGTTGTCCAGGCATATCTTCTCAGATCGAAGAAAAACTATTTACTACATTACAATTCCACTACGACATAGAAAACACATAACCTGACACAGCTTATTGGCGATATCAAACGCATGTAAAAAATTATCGCAATATTATAGGCGTGCTGTTACGGCTTTTCACAGGGCGGGAAATCCTTCTTAAAAACTGCAGCTTATGTAATTTTTTTTTCCTTCAGCTTTCTTATAAAGAAAAATATATATCGCATTAACCGAAATTCAACTTTTTAGCCGATCCGTGCTATAATTACAGAAACCTGAGTGATGCTGACAGAAAGAGCACTTACAACACACCCTACGGTGGAGAAAAATGTGACGACGAGTCCTCATCCATAATATTCGGGGAATGGTATCGTTTCGTAGGAGATGCAGGAACAAAAATGCCAACCCAGTGCGTACCGGATAATAGATGTGGTGCGGTCTTATCAGGCTGGCTAAAAGGTGGTCACCCCACACTGGCAGATGGTGAGGTTACCTCCAAGGTCTGCTTTACCAGAGGTGGAGATTGTTGCAAGAAATCAAGGGTGATAAAAGCGAAAGACTGCGGATCCTACTTTATTTACAAACTACGAAGGGCACCTGCTTGTGATCTGCGCTACTGTGGCACAGACTAAAAGTTATAAGCAAGTTATTCTGCACAGTGAAAGTATTCACAAATCGATTCATTGACACGCATATGTACATCAATGATAGTAGGGACTTAAAGAATTTCATGTGATCCACTTTTTATGATCAGTGTTAAACAGTGAGTAGTTTGAACACAAGAGTACCTTTGGACCGCTTAGTTTGATCCTCCAAGTAAGAGTGCTCCTGAGTAGTTGTGACTGAAGGTAGTCAGTAATAGTGACGGACGTTTCTATAACCTCAGCGGAAATCATCATCAGAGTCGACTGACCAATAGTTGTTTATCCGGGTATAAGAACAGACTCCCCCCTCCCCCCCTTCCCTTCCCCCCAGCTAATGTCAACAACTATGGGCATATTAGTAAGCTTCTAAATAATCATAATATCTCTATCTGTTCCGATCGAAGTACTTCACTATGCAAGTTTTAAGCACTCTTGATGTTTACTCAGGTCGTTGGAAACTAAAGCAGCTTAGGTGTCTTGTTGATAGAGACTGTAAATAATTTCTAGAATTGCATAATTGTTATTCACTGTTATATTGATACTCAAACTTTCTGATGACATAGTATGGAAAACTAGAACATTCTATTATGCTATGTAATTATGATGTATTTCTATCACAACAGTTGTGTTGTAAACTTCGAATTCCGGAATGTTTTGAAATACTGACTGTAAATATATGAAAATCATGTATGTGCACTGCGGTGAAGAAACGAATATAAGAGATCCTCATAGTCATGGACACTACTGAACTAGTAGTTGAAACAAGACCTGAAAAAATTTAAGGCCCGTACGGGATTTGAACCCATGACCTCTGCGATACCGATGCAGCGCTCTACCAACTGAGCCAACAAGCCAACTGGGAGCTGATGATTATGTTGGAGTAGTATCTTTTTTTTTTTTTGTCGGAAAAGATCAACTATCTAGGAAGCTCTACCAAAAGATAGCTCCGTACTGCGATATACTTCAAAGATTGTGTATTTTGAGAAGATTTGAAGGCGAGAGTGAGTCTTTGGTGTCGGTAGAGAGCAAAGTTATAGTTTATAGTGGCTTTAAGTAAGTTTTTAAATGACAATTATTGTATTGCCTATAGGAGTAGGCCATGAGAAAGAATTATTACAAGTTGTTTAATAAAAATAGTTTAAAATTGTAGGAGTAAAGTATTCGTTATTTTGATTAAATTATACCTTAACAGGTGAATCTTGTAGGAAAACGTGTTGGGTGAAATAGCTGAAATCTAAATGCTGTCTGCCAGAAGCTATTATACAAGCCATTCTAACGAAAAACTAAACAACACCAGAAAGAGGCCCGAAATGACGACCAGTTAAAGCCTAATTTTAAAACCTTTTCAGGCTTATTTGTGTGTATGTAACCTCTAGCAGAGAAGGTGTAATCCGTTACTCTGGTTGCTTTAGTTATAACTGACAATGAGCCTAAGACAAAAAGCACGTCTAAGTAATCAGAGGTTTGCATGTCTTTGATGCACTTACTGAAAATTTAAATTGACTTTCCTAAAGGCTAAACCTTCTTATCGCCCGCTATTCAAATTCTCTACATGTAATAAGTTTAAGGTTACATGAGACAATGAATTATCACTTTCCAGATGTCTGTAAACAAAACCGATTCCACTTTATCTTTTTGTTGTTGTTAAAGGCACTGTCGTTAGTGTTGCTGAAGTGCAAAGTTCATCATATTCCTTCGGGTGAATAATCGATAATCTTCGGAAGGGTGTCCAATCCGTGTTATGAAGCATAGTGACGACAAAAGAAATAACATTGACGATGTATCACTAAATGATCCAGTGTTCTGTGTCACACAACTCTCCGCGTGATGGTACCGTTTCGTGACAGCTGTAGGAACTAGAACTTCAACAACCTGCGTTGATAGTTGTAAATGTGGTAAAGCCAACCCAGGCTGGTTAACCCTTTGACTCCCGGAGACGATTAACCTGTTACTTCTCCCAACAAAATCCATTCATACTCTAAGCTTAGGAAACTTATCAGGACGAAGTTGTTTACCTGATCTAATATCAAACTCTCTAAACTTATTTATAAGGAAATGTGAAGCACCTTAAAGGGAGAATCAACAATCAGATCTTGGAGGTTAAAGGGTTAACTTGTGCTACTCCCGTAATGGAAGATGGGGAATTTGACAGGAAGGTCTACTTTAAACATAAAATTAGAGGCTGTTGCTACTGATCAGTTCAGATTTAAGTAGAAAATTCTGGACTCAACCATTTATACAAATTTTTTTCACTCACCAACTTGTGATCTTCGCCACTATGATACAGACTGACGTTGAGAAAAATAACTCCACGTAAAAAGATGATTTATGAACCGCTATCTAAGTAGACGCCTATCACAAATTTAACAAATTTTTTTTCTCATCATAATAACTACTTACATTATTTTAACTCTAATTGTAATAGTAAATTATTGACCCAGGCGAGATACCTGTCTGGCTGAATGGTAACCATCCTATAAGTCCCAAGGATTGGTCCGCTTTGGCACGATTAAAGTACTTTACCAGTGTTACTCAAAAGATTTCTGAAAATAATTATGACATCAGCTATATATACAAAATTTTTTTGAACAAGCTGTGAACTGTGCTTGAGTGGTCCAGACTAAATTTGAAGAAAATAACTGCACGTAATGAGAGGATTCCATATAGCAGTTAGTTGCAGTTATGTAATATTGAAGTGATAAAGGCACGAACAACAATTTTTGGCACTCTCTTCATTCATTCTCTTTCTTAATATCTGTAGTTTGTCCGAGACTTCAGATCCTGATGATGTTCATTGTGTGTGGAATTATTCAGTTCACATTTTGTGATTACTGGAGATCTGCTGGTCACTAATTCGTTATAGCTGACGCAGTTGGGTTCCATGTAGCATAGAGCTGAGCAGAAGTCTTGCACAGGGGACTCTACGGTTCGTATCAAGCGGTTTATGAGCCGTTTGCCAGGGAAAGCAAGAGAAGATGTAAATTCCATCTTGCGACAGAAATCTTTAGGAAATTGAATCGGATTTGATTAGCACCATTTATGGTTTGCATCTAGATAGGTAAAGAACCAGTTTCTTTTATTAGGGACTAAGCAAAGGCAATTGAGTGATGAAACTTAAAAGTTGTATAAGTAACAAAACATGACAGTTTCGCCCCTCTCTCCTCCACGACCAGTCATAACCATTACAATGTCCTCAAGTGATTTTTGTCCTTTAGTTGCTTTACATTAGCACTAATTAGTCTGTAGAGTTGTAATCGGACAGTCAACTGTATCGGACAGTTAATTTGACACCTGTAATCGGACAGTTAATTTGACACCTGTAATCGGACAGTTAATTTGACACCTGTAATCGGACAGTTAAGGCAGCTTATCACATTAAGTCCACTCCTCCAAATCACCCAATCACAGAGTTTGAACAACTCAAAAAGTTCGTATTTGATTAACACAATTATGGCTGAGTTTAGATGTTCACATAATTCAAGTTACCTAGGGCTCGTTTACACTTGAAATTTTAAGAGAGCCATTGATCTTCTCTTCTTTAGCCAGCGGTTACAACAAAGTTATGCTGCTGTGCTGCAGGGACTGCATTCCAAGCTATCAAAAGTGAGCCAAACGTTTCATTCACACGTAGAAAGCTTTGAACAAAATCAAGGAGACTTAACAGCTGACAAAGAGAACACATTTATTTCATTCAAGTAACACGCGTGTATGAATAAAGACTGCTATTGATTCTATTACTAAAATAGATGCTGAAATAATAGTTCGTATGAAAGACCAGATCTTTGTCTGTGAAAGATAACTTTCTCCTAAGCTTAGAGAAATAAAAAAAAGGTGAAGTAGCTGACGTTGTTTCCCAAGTTCTATTCATCTGCAAGGTATTTCACCGGCTTAATTTGGATTGAGAGGGAAGCAAAGGGGGTTAATAATCTCGAACTAATGAAGGTTGATAAGGTTATCAGAATTTAAAAATAAAGTATATAACAGGAATTCTGTGTCCACAAATAAAATGAATTTCTCTTCCTTGTAAAGGAGCATCAACAAAAGTACGGAACTTACTTCAAGCCACATCCTTCATCCCATGTCCACTGGCCTCAGTGACGGCAAAGGAAGGGTAAAAAAATTAAGATTTTGATCTTCTGGGAATGAAAATTACACCTGTTCCTTTAGTCAATCATCATGTGGTCAAAAAATTTTAAAAACCTAGAAGCGCAATTATACCATTGTTTACAGTTATCTCATTAGCAGGATATTTCGCATGCTGTTATATATTAATTGACACATTTTATTGTATGATTAGAACTCTCTGCATGCAAAAGAAGTAAACAAACATCAAAATCTTTTCAGAAGTCAACGGGGATGATCCTACGTTATCAACTTAGTCTTCACCATGGCTTCTTTCCCAAAATTTTACTTCTTGGTCGCCCTGTTGTCTTTATTGATAACTGAAGTTGCTGGTGAAGAAGGTGAGTTATACTTTCATTTCCGCCGAGCTGATATAAAATCATTACAGTTCAACTAAGTTAGACGAACATTCGATTTCATTTTCATTATTTCCAGTTTTTCTCCATAGATATATAGGTAACATAGTTACCAGAATAGAGACCATCCAGCCTAAACTTACTCATCAAAACTCTAAGATAATTGTTGAAAATTTTTGATGTCACATGAACGATAAGCAAAAGGCCGACATGTTGATTTTTGGTAAATAATAACAACACTTTTTTTTTTGTTAAGTGTTGTTAAAACAGCCCAAATTCTAAGCCGCCAATAGCAGCTCACGCATAAAAAATGCAGGTCTTCCAACTGCATGATTACAATTAAAACGGACTCCTGGTTAGTTTTGTTACAATGCAAGGACAGGAGAAACTAGTGGGTGACAAAACTCCCCGCTATCGAGAGGCAACAAGACTCTTCTTCAGTCTTCTCTTCTTGTTCTTCTCTTTACGCTAATCACCCTGAGGTAGTTTCTCTCTTTACGAGTAATTAAG